GTCAGCCCCTAATGACTCACATTCCTCCCGGGACAAAATTATATCAGCTGTCATCTCTCTTGCAGCGTCTCCATTGCAGAGGGGGGGGGAAGTAGGCGCGCCGAGACAAACGCGTTCAAACAGAGATGTGCCAGACAATGCTTGGAGGATTTACACTGCAGTTGCATGGCAGCATTTCTGTTGTTGGCTACTGAATTCATCTGGCATTGTCTGCATATCAGACAGAGAACGGATGGATTTAAGCCCCTAGATTCAGCTGTCTGTTTTTGTGCAATGTGGCACCGACGTGTTCATCTTTTCGGTTCTCATCTCCACTTTTCTTCATGAGATAAACGTATAATCAACTTGTCTTTGACGAAGGCATTTGCATTAGGGGGGGTCGGCTTTTTCTTTTATGTTTACTTTGATTTGTATTTGTTCACGTGGATGTTTTAAGTTAGGTTGCATAATCTCTCAGCAAGTCATTGTAATTTTATGGGTACTAAGAGCAGAGAACACTCTGACTTTCTTTCCACAACTAGATTTTTTTCCCCCTGCCTCTTAAGTCACAGCATGCATTAGTTAGAGTTGTCAATTGGGTGGACAGCCTTGTCTGGGTATGTGTGCCTCCATGCCAAACTCTTTCCATTTTCAGATAATGGACTGAGCAGTGCTCTGTGAAGTGTTCAAAGCTAGTTTTTTTTCCCCCTACCTAACCCAGCTTTAGACTTCTCTACAACGTTCTCCCTGAGATGTCTGCTGTGTTCCTTGATCTTTCTGATGCTGCTTGTTCGCTAATGTTCTCCAACAAACCTCTGAGATGTAAACTGAGGTTAAATGACACACAAGTAGGCTTTATTTACAAAGTTTGTGCCTGGTGAAGGGTGCTTTCATACACCGTTGGTTGCACCAGATTTTATTTAAAGTATCAGGGTAAGGTGGGCGAGACTTCTCAAAATGTTGTACCGTAAAAAACAATAAGATCCTAATTGAACACATTGGAAGATGTGGTTGTAACATGACAGAACGTGGAACATCTTGATGGAGTGTGAATATCTTTTGAAAAATCCACGTCGTTTAAAGACGTAGCCTCTGAGCACTGCAGCAGATGGTGCTTTTAACAAGCATTAGTCTGACGGCCCGCTGATAACCGCTGCTCTATTGTTAGAGCTGAGCCGGCACGCTCCCAGATACAGACAGACAGGCGGACATCTTTCATTATCACCGACTCTCTTTTAACATTTGCTTCCACTTCCCTCCTAACGTCCAGAGTCATGATAAAGGTGAGGAACTGGAGTTTTCCAGAGGTTTCTGTTTGTCAGCGAAGGGTCTAAAATGTTCTCCCCCTCATTGACTGCATGGAGAGCCCATGTGACTTTTGTTCTAAAAATAATCCATAAAACTGAATTGAACTGTTGTTACATTTTGATGCCTGAGGTGGGGAATATTGTTGACAAATCTCTGAAAAGCTAACAGATGAAATAAAGGTATTCTATTGTTAAACTTACCAGCAAGGAAACAAATTTTGAAGTTCTTACAATTTTTTTTTCTCTCAATATAATGCTTTAAGTAAACTTATTATGTTTATGTTACCATGCAGGGGATAAGGTTAACTAACCTATCACAAAAAAAATAAATAAATAAAAATAAAAAAAATCCTGTTTGCTGAACAGATGAACACAACAAACTGCGGGCCTCTGGATGTTCTTTTCTCAAAAAAAAAAAAAAAAAAAAAAAAAAAAAACTGGAGTTAGTTCAGTAGCTCCAAATAATCTGGCATCATATTTGAATTTTTTTTTTTTAGGATCATATCATTTAAAAATATTGCTGTTTAATTGCTGAACATGATTAAAATGACTCATTCCCAGCAAACGGCACGGTGACAGCGACATCTAGTGGAAATTTGCTTTCAATGCACATCAGGGATTCAACTGTAGAAATAAACACATGGAATCCTGGTCAAAGTGCATTTAATTATATATGTTGTGTAAATTGAATTACATAGCTAACCAAAGAAAATTACCTAGATAATAGTCAGAAAGACTCCTTTAAATGAATTGGAAAAAGGTAATGAAAAGGTTATAATTATTGTTATTTTAATTCTAGGGTTTAAGGATTATCTTCACCGACTCTTCCCGTCTTGTGTTTCGGATGAGCGGCAGCGGAGGAGGGACGGGTGCCACCATGCGCATTTATGCTGAGAGCTTTGAGAGAGACCCTGAGAGACACAGCAGAGAGACTCAGGTGGGGGAGCTGTGTGTTATCTGCTACACGCGCAGAAGGACCTGTGCGCTTCTCCTGCTTTCACCTGGAACAGGGGCAAACCGCTTTTGTCTTCATTAAAACTTTTTGTTTTGACTCCATTATCGTGAACTTTTCTGTCGAGAATGCATTATTAACAATTAAGAGATTAAGAATTACGCATGAATAAGAAACAAATCATCCATGGATTAATTTGCCATTTATTTATTTATTTATTTTGCGATTCTTTTTCTTTTATTTATTTATTCATTTGTTAAAATTCTTTAATTCATTTCAGAGTGAAACAATGATCTACCTACCCATTTTGGTAACACTTTATTTGAAGGGGTGTGTATAAGACTAAGGCATAACACCTGTCATGAACATAACAAAGTCTTTATGAATGTTTATGACAGTTGTCATGAAGTGTCATTCGGTAAATAATGACACTTTTAATGCAAAGTTGCTCTAAAAGTTGCATTGCAAGTCCATTAAAAGTGACAACTTTGCATGATTTTGTAAATTATGATAATTTAATGCAAAGTTGGCATTTTTAATGGACTTTTAATGCAACTTTTAGAGCAATTTTGCATTAAAGGGTCATTATTTAACAGATGAAACTTTATGACAACTGTCATAAACACTCATAAAAACTCCTTTAGGTTCATGACAGATGTTATGTCATGTTTATGAAAGTGTCATGTCAGTCTTAGGTACACCCCTTCAAATAAAGTGTTACCCTTACGGTTTTTACTTTGGGCTTTATTCTCTCTGCAGGTGGTGCTGGGTCCTCTCATCGCCATCGCCCTGAAGATCTCCAACATTCATGAGAGGACAGGACGGCGCGGCCCAAACGTCATCACATGAGTTAAAAGAAAATGAGGAAGACACACACTCACATACACACGCACATGTTATATGCATCTATCATGCCCACACTGATAAGTTATACTTATTTCTGCAGCTTCACTTTGCTTGGAACAGCTTTTAACCCAAGAATCTTTTTGGGTTTTTTTCTGCTGGAATTTGTCTCTCAAAGACAAAAGTGTCACAGCTGCACATCTATGTTCATTTTTGTTCACAATAAAAAAGTCAGTTATTGATAAACATGAAGCAAATTGAAATAATGCAGTAGTTACACAGTGGAAGCTATAAAAGCAATAAACACAAACCTGACAACAGAATATCAACGTTTCTTGATTTTTTTTTTTTATATTGCTTAGTGTCAGCTTATTATTTTTTCTTTTTCACTTTACTAATATTGAACATTTAATTTGCAGTGCACATATTTGTTATTATTACACATTGCAAGTAATTCATTTACCAAAACGAGAAAGAAAAGTTACAGCTTCCTCATAAATCAACATTTGTGCGCATTCGGACTGAGAGGAAATAAAAACATATTCAAAGTTTCTTGTTGCCCTTTGGCATGTTGGGGATTTTCACTAAGGAGTGTCCTCATCGCTGGACTTACTTGCTGTGATTGAACAGCTCTTGTTTTCCAGCTGAAGAGGAAACAAACTGAAGCCGTTGAGCTGCGATAAGAGCTTATGAGGTTTGATCTTTACACCGCTCCGATGACACGCTGACAGCAGGACATCATAAACATGTTGATTGCCATCATTCTGATTTGAGGATAAAGCCAGTAGATATTCAATAGGATGCTTTCACTCAGCCATGCAGACGTTAGCCGTCGGTCCGTACAGGTTGTTGCTCCATCTTTATGGTGCCAGGCGTCACTGCTGGTGTTGCTGAATGTGCTGCTCATAGTCAAATCCTTGATTATAAAAAAATGAATCCTAGAGTGCAAATGATAAGGGGCATTATAAAATGATATTTTAATATAATCATGTAATTAACAAAAACAAGTCTTTTTAATCACATTCGTCAAGTTCATAAAAACATGGCGGCTATAAAGTTCTGGTTACTGTTTCAACTGAATGCTTATTGTGCCGAAGTGAACCATCGGGGCGTTTTGAACATAAACGACCCGTCTGGGGCTCGTGACAGACATACGCACAGATATGGTGGGATATTTGAAGGAGATTTAAGGAAATACTTAAAATTCAGGAGACACTTCCTGAAGTATCTTTACAAACACTGCTGAGCTGTGGTGTTCTGTTGACGTACTAGTTAATCTTTTCTTTGCTTTTATAATGTTGTGGTTGCAACCTTTGACTTAATGAAGTAGCCACAGTCATTTTGTGGGACTATTCATAAACAAAATGATCTTCTTTAGCTGCCCAGTTTTCCCTTCAGCTAAACTGTGAGAAGACCAAGTGTCTGATGTTTTCCCTGGAGCTTTTGGTTCACCCGATCAGGCACTGTAAGGTTTCTAAAAGCAACAAGTTGAAAACAGTTATCTGTATTGTTCCCATTTATGTGAAATTGATTGAGAATCAAAATAAAACATCCTCCATGATTTGGCTTTTTAAAAAACGATAAATTAAATTTGATCTCATTCATGCATTTCAGTATCAGTATTTTGTTTATTTATTTATGTTTTTGCTTTGTTCCCTAGTTTTAATGCAGCCAAACTCTAAAATTTATATTTTTTTCAATAACACTAAGTGCAATCAAATGGAAGAGAGTAAAAGGTGAATATGTGTTAAGTATTGCATTTTGTTTTGGGTTGTACTGTTTGTTCTACTTACTTACAGGTTAGTTTGGTGTAAATTAATTTAGTTGTGGCCTAAATAAGTTAACTGATTTGTTTTAATTAAAGTAACTTTGGGTTTAACATAAAACTTTACAGTTATTGAAGACAATTTAACTGTTTTTAATGTGTTGCAACATAAAAATCTGAGAATAAATATAGAAATGTTGACAATATTGAGCCTTTACATTACATACATTATTACACAAGCAATACGACAGGGTGCAACGTCTTTCAGAAATGTTATGATCTTATACTCTGTAAAACAAAGTATATAACTCTGTAAAACATATAACAGAGGTGTTATTCAGTTCTCCGACTTGCTTGTTACACAACCAAGACGGAGTGCTAAAAAGCTAAAACAGCTTTTTGATCCAGAAGCAAAATCATTCAAGTAACTTAAACACACATTTCAGTTCCAACGCAACAAGTTTTCACCCAGTAAAGTCCCAGAAAACCGTGTCCACTGAGACAGTGCAGATTGGGTGTTGACACAGCAGCTGATGTCATTTTGCAGTAAAGCAAAGTCACAAATTTAGTGATGTCCATCGTTTTTTAGGGAACCTTCTCCTAGTTGGTGGTCCTCGCTCTTAGGGAGTAGATTAAAAACCCATTTCTCCGTTGGTGTTGGAAGCAGCATCTCTTCACATGCATCCTTCTAATTGTGTTCAGTATGGACCACCTGACTGTATCGAGGTGGTGGCTCCCAGCTCCACCTGCAGTCTGGACTCTCTGAACTGTCCTGGGTGTAGAGTGGAGGTGCAACATCCAAAACCACGGGAACTCCATCGACTGATACAACCTCCTCATGCATGCTGCCCGGGCTGACGTGGAAGGGACACTGGGTCTCTTCGTACGGAGGAGGAAAGGAGTTCGGCCTGCTGAAGAGAAGATCCGCGTTCAGAAAGAATGGGTTTATCAAAAACACTAACAGTTTTAGCTATTTTCTTTTACATGCAAGTGTGATCACATGAAGAAAAAAAAATAAAAAATCAGTGCAAGCATTTACTGGCTGTTTCACCTTTCAACTGTGAAGATCTGGATGTCACTGTCGTGTCTTCTTCTGTGGTACATCTTGCTCCTCATGAGGTGGCAGAGGCTCCAGAACACCCCGATGAGCATGGCCAGGAAGCCGAAGACGATCATGATGTAAACAGGGACCATCCTGTGATCGAACCCTGGCTTGTTCTGCTGGGACACCAGGTAGGCTCCGATGCACGTGAACACAAATCCCACAGAAGGTAAGAACATGCGGGCAAAGGACAACAGCTGTTTCTTTATGTCCATGACTGCTGAATTGTTCTGTACGTTGCTTCTTCGGTACAAGGTGGAGGTGTCCTCTAAATGACAACGGTGCATTCACATCTCAGATAAGTGAATGTGCTCAAAAATGTCTCGGCACCTCTTAGACACATGTCTCAGTGAGCAGCTATGCCTCCTCGGTTGTAAAAGAAAGTGGCTGCAAAGATCCTCCCGGCTAGGTTGTATATTAACGCAGGGAGGTCACAAGTATGAGAGAGATCTTGCCCGTGGTTTGGCAAAAACACTAGGGGGAAAAAAAAAATAAAACAATAATGCTAGTGCTAAAGGCTAAAGTTGGTTGATGATGTGGTATGAAGACTTTTCTGCAATTTCTTTTATATATGTGAAGCACTTAAAGGCCCTGATTCTAATGACTTTGAGTCTCGGTAGTCGTTTTGCATCATTCTTATCCTTCAGTATTATTCCTTGGTATTGTATTTTTTTTTATTATTTGAACACTGCTTTTCATTTACTCAGGTTATCATTTACTGATATTAAAAGGCTAACAAGTGTGACTGTGGCTCAGTGGGCATGCGAGGTAGTGGGGAGCAAGAGTCAATGAAGGTGTCAAGTTTTTTTTCCGACTTGGTAGACGTTATGAATCTTCATTTTTGCCAGTTTTGTTAAAAAGGATAAAGACGTATCTTTTCTTATTACATTATTCCATCTTAAGCTCTCAGTTGCTAATATCCTACTGGTTTTATAACACCTGAAACGTACTGTTAGACAACAGGTAAGCTAAATATTACAATACAAATAAAGAAACAGATATACAATTTTCAATCTAGTTTATAAGTTCATGGTACATGGTCCCAGTTCAATAAACAGAGCAAACAGATATTTTTCCCCTGTCCCCTCTGCTCCACAGCTACCACAAAGCTGTCAGGTTGAAACATTCTGTGCTTGTAAACTCTCACAGCATTGCACAACATTTTTTTTCTCAAAGAACTTTAACACAAAACTTTGCACAGGTCCTGGGTAATGTTTCCATAAACATGTTTCCATTAACCAAAGATAACCCAATTTTTCAGCTTCACTTCTGTCAGCATCAATTTGAGGTTGGATTGCAAGTGCTTAAGATCTTTAACCTTTTTGTGAATGTATTTTCTTATTTATTTATTTATTGTTATTTTTTTTTATTGCACTCTGCGTATTCATAATTGCATCCTTAAATAAAGTTACTCAAACCCAACATGTTCAATGAAGTCCTCGGGATGCTTTGGTCTCGATGCTTGTTACATGTTCCATTTGAAATTCTTCTAACTTTCTTGTCATGCAAAAAAAAAAAAAAAAAATGTCAGTACTAAACAGTTAAACTGGATATGAGCCGGAGAAATGAATCAGTTTAACAGGTTTTCTGTTGCTGTCATGAGTCTCTGCAGAAATATGAATACACCATACAGCGCTTATGGGGTTTGTTATTTATGACTTTTTTTGTGGGCAACATTTTTGCAAAGCATTACATATTTGATACGGATCCTTCTTTCATTCCTTGTCATTTTGCTTTCAGTAGAGCACTTTGCTTTTGATATGTTGCACAATATCATCATGGGATCATTTCAAGCCCTTATAAGTAGCTCCGTATTCATGAATGAAAGGTCACCACCCTCCTCAATACTCATCGAGGTTGATTGCTCAATAAACTTTATCAATCATATCAGAGTGCAGTCCAGCTTGAGAAATATCTTGATTTTCCATAAGTGCATTGTCATTCTATTCAACACACCCCAGTGTTTCAGAACTGTGACATTCTCAAACCTTTGAATTTTCTCGCATAGCAACAACAAACATAATATGTTTCATAAATTGGATTAAGGAAAAGCAGGGCATTGTTGTGAAATGGGAGGAAAATCAGACAACCAGTCAGACAATCTGAAAAGTGTGTGGCAAGTGTTATTTCATCTGCGCATCAATCCAGCCGTTCTGTGAAGGTCTCACAGGTTTGTTAGAAAACAACGGGGGTTGAACGGCTTCACGAAGACTGCGGAAGACTGAAGACGTTTCAGAAATCAGATTCTGGAGACGTTTAAAGTGGAGTTAGGTTATAAAACAATTTCTAAGCCTTGAGCATCATATTGAGCAATCCTCAGTTAATCATCTGAAAATGGAAGCCATTTGACACAAGTCCAAACCCTCTAATTTGGGCTGCATAATATGAGGAAAACATGTAATTACCACATGTAATTACCATAGCATTGCTGAACATTGTGACAATGATGTAGATGACAATGAAAAATCCACACAACAGGACAAATATATCACCGATATGGAGGAATAGTGCGCAGGGCACTTGAAATACATGAACCTACCAAATATTGCATCCAAGCAATCATTTGTGATTGTGATATTGCACACATTGATGCAATAATGAGCATGACTTGTACTCTGTTGTGATTGATGTCAGAGATGCACACAAAGGAATGCATAAATAGTAAAGTGCAAGAAAATAGTATTTTTTTTTTTACAAATTAAAATATGGCATTTATGTTCATCCTCCTCTACTTTGATGTTTCTGAATAAATATACATTGCAACCAATTATGCATGTGTGTGTGTATGTGTGTGTGTGTGTGTGTGTGTGAGTGTGTGAGTGTGTGTGTTCTTATCTAGGTATAAATCCAACTCTTCTTCGTAGGTCTGAGAGGTTTGTTGGAGAACGTTATTGCACCTTGAAAACCACAGAGCAAACAAGTCAGGAATGAAGTAGAAGAAGTTTAAAGTGCTATTGAATTAAAAAACTGTATCCACGCTCAGAGAGCTCAGGGAGCCATGTGTTGGGCTCCCTACGTAAACTGACAGATTGTCGAAGAAAACTTGTTCGAGACAAGATAAGACTTGAGATGGAGGTGGAGACGTACCTTCCTGTGGGACAACATCCAGCCAGAGCCGCAGTGGACAGATATAGATCAAAACCCATTTATGTGTTCCTATGCCACAGTCACAATTCAAATGAGTACATCTGGAAAGAGTTCAACATTGCTGTCTTTCCAATCTGAGTCTGAACTGTTTTTCAAAGGAAACCAGAGGAAAAAATGTGTTTCTAGTTGTCCAAAGTTGCTGCCTGGAGCCATTGCAAAAAGATACGGAGCAGAGTGTACTCCATGTGACACACCGTCACCATCTAGTGACGGTGTGTCACATGGAGTCAAGGCAATTTTATTTGTATATCAAGTTTGAGCAACAAGGCAATTCCAGGTGCTTTACATGACTCAAAAGAAAGGTAAAACAACAAACAAGAAAACAGTGGTAAAAAGAAACCTCTTACGAATCCACTATTGGTTGTCATAACATGAAAACATTGGAAAAGTTCAAGGAGTTTGAATACTTTTGACAAGACACTCTACCCAGTACCAGATTATGCAGAAGCTGCCAAACATTAAGTCTGAATCAAGGCATTAATTATTGCTAAGCAAGCCATACATCACTTGCTGATGCACTCATTCTGCAGCCTGGTGCAGCATATAAAATCATGACAGATGCGATACTGAGCTGTGTTTAACAGCCCAGGAACTTTACAGGGCTTTGAAGATGATGACAACTTCTTTTATCTCTAGCACAGCTATCACACAGTGTCTGGTCTGGTCGGTTGCCCTGAGAACATAAACTGAAGCCTTGAATGATGCTGCAGTTTTCTGCCTGTGCATGCCACAGATTAGGCACATATTCAGAGGGAAGTTTCATCTGATTTCTCCTGGGAATGCGTTGGTCTTTAGAGGGATGTCGGTGCCTGAATCATTACAACGGTTTTACTGCAGGTTGAGAAAATCCTATCTCATAGTGAATTTATTTTATTTATTTGGAAAAGCTCTGAGTTGGAGCTTTTGTTTTGAAGGCTTTGATGGCCACTTTGAATTGGTGAGATATAAAGCACATTAAGTTATAAAATCATGGAAAGAGTGCGACGGTGGCGCAGGGGGTGGAGGGCACAAACCTTGAACGGGCTCTAATAAAGGACACCAGAGCCAAAACTATCCTTAAATAAATAAAACCATGGGCATACAATGCACATGCAGTCATATTTGAAAAAAAAATGAAAGTATTATTGAAAAATGTATGTATTTCAATAGCTCCTTATTATTATAAGAATTGTCTCCTCCAGCTACTGAAAACAAAACATTTAAGATTGGAAAACTGCATCAGAACAATAAAGAAAAAAATGTAATACAGAAAAGTGGGCTTTATAAACTACATTTTATACCTGCTTAAAGGATAATATTTTAAAATTTACTTTAATCTGACAAATAAGGCTCGTCTGAATGTATATTTTAATTGACTGCACTGAAGAAGCATTTTGTCTAAGTACTGTTTTTTTTTTGTCAATTCCTGACCATTTTTCTTTTTTGTTTGTTTAGCATCTGAGCACAATTATAAGTAGGGTTTTTAATCATTGCACATACACAATTCATTTAACTTTTTTGTTTTTAACTGAATTAAGACAATTACAAAATCTAACAAAATTAATACATCAATCAATTACGGCAACCTGTTCCCTCACAGGACATCACAAAGACACACGAGAAAAAAACTGTCTGTTTGTGGACTGTGGGAAGAAACCGGAGTACCCAGAAAACTTTTTAATAAATATTTAAAACATCAATTTTGCACATAGCTGTGAAATAATCTAATTTATTCACATGTTCTAATACAAAAGAGGATGCATGTACACTGTTTATAAATTCAATGTGCAACACACAACTGCACACGCACACACACACACACACATGCACACACACACACACACACACACACACGCACACACACACACACACACACACACACACACATATACCTTCTTTTAGATCTCATTATTGAATGATAATAATAGACAGGATGAAGCCATTAGTAGTGAGGAAAGGAGTGAAGGGCCGGATATTAATCAGATGGACCCTGATGAGGACCTGCCAACCCCCGTCATCAATCAGGGTCAGACTGCACGCTCAGCAGAACACAACTTCACTTGTTATATGGTCACTAACTCAATACATATCAGCAATTTGATTGTTTAGCCGATGGTGTTGTATTTATGCACATAAATCACAGTGTGTGCAAGACCGGTGGAGAGGTACAGATGTAGTTGCAGTGATGCTCCACTTGTGGCAGTGTTGCATTATCTTTTTTTCACTCCCTGCCCCCCGACCACTGCTGTCAATGCAAGAGGGAAAGTTTGCTGTGCTGCTTGCTTGGTAATCATGTGGTTTAGGATGATTTGAAGC